GTTTTGGCTTGATGGAGGACCAGGGTCAAGGTTAAAGTGAGGAGAGAGCTTCTTCCTTCCAAAGAGAATGGGCTCAGGAAGCTCATGAAAACATCTTCCTCTTGGAATCCTTCATGCCACCTAATGTATGAAAAGGAAAGCAAGTGGCATGCGTTGTGAAAGGGTGATTCATTATCATTATTTCCTGGCATATTGATTCTCCGCTTCAACAAGAAAGCTCTGTCACACCGTCAGCCGCTGGTGACGGATGGCCCTGCCACAAATGTGTCAGCAGCACAACGTGGCGCCTGCTTAAACAAATGGCCGTGGCTGGGGTAGGCGAGCAGCCAGGTGTGGACCACTCCGTGGGGAGCAGAGTGGAGTGCCTGCACGCCACTGCCTCTCCAGACCCCTGGGAGGGGGTGGCAGGTGGGTACGGTGATGTTCTCGCCAGGCTTTCCTTGTGGAAGGAGGAGTGAGAGTAGGGACAGAGTTGGAGAGCTGTGGTGAATGGGTGTGCAAGACTGTTCTTCCCTCTGACTTTACCTTTCTGACTCAGCGTATTGGTGGTTGCCATGTAACCTTTGTTCTGTTCTATTTTTTCCTCCCAGTAAGGCTTTGACTCATCCCTAGCTTGTGGCTGTCTGTCCCCATGCTTTCTAAAGCCACTAAAATCATCCTTGTTTATCTGGAACCAGTATTTTGAAGGCTGAAGTTCACTGTTGAACCTGGGAGGCAACATCTGTCCCTAGCCCTCCTTCTTGTGGTCACAGAGGCTATCCAGTGTCACAGGCCTGCAGAACCTGAGTTTGCTTCCCCCTTGTCAAGCCACCTCTTTCTGAATTACATGGTAGAGCATCTCTCTCTCCTTCCTGTTTCCCAGTGTGGCTCAGTTCATGATCTTCTCTCTTATTTTCCATATGCCAATAGAGAGATAGAAGTGGGGCACCAGGTGAAACATCTCAAAAATGTAGTGTCTTGCCAGGGATGCAAGGGAGGGTTAAGACAGAAACTCATTCTGAGCATCAGTTCATCTTCCAGGAACCTACCATGATAGGGGAAAAAACATGTTTTAGCCTTGGATGACTTTTTTTTTTCTGCAATAGCTTTTCTACAGAGAGATGAAGTTCATGTACAAAGCAGTATTTTTTATTTACAAAGGTGTTTGCTCTGACTCTGCAAAACAATCCTTAACTTAGAATGGCTAAATTTTCTTCACTGCTCCTCTGCAGGTCTGTTATGCTTCTATCAAAGTTCACAAAAATTTATTTTTTAATATCCCCAGACTCTCATATTTCCCAAAGTGCTCTTATATGGATGTGTGCTCATCCATATTCATCCTTCTTCCACCTGCAAGGACCATAGCAGAGCTGCCCCACCTGAATCAACACCTCCTGAGCTGAGCAGGACAGGCAGCAGTAGCTGTCTGCGGAGTCTGCTTTGAGAAGACTCAGTGTTTGCTCCTCAAAGAGTGAGAGGAGGTGTCTGTAGGGGAGGCAGTTTGACAGTTGTGATGAGATTCATCACAACTTTTCCTTTATGGCATACTCCCTCTTTTTTTTTTTCCACAGCCACACTTACATCCTTCAGTAAAAATGATGCTCAGACATCTAGAAGAGAGACAATGAGACAAGAAGTGTCTTGCTGACTGCCAAGCCTGTCTGTGGGGTGTGGGTTTGGAGTGGGTCTGACACTGTTGAAAAATCAGGACAAGCAAAACGCTTGATTGTATTTTAAGCACTTGTATACAGCAGGGCTTAAAACAAAGTTTTCACATAATGTACTAACAATCCATGAGAGCATTGCTGCCCACCTGGCTTTGTGGCTCAGGGTGCTGTTGGTCAGGGAATTTGAAGGTGTTTCATCCCTGGAGCATGTTGCTTATATCCTCTGTCCTGCATGTAGAGGAACAGATCAAAGGCTCTTTTATAAACCCATGTCTGATTTTGCCAGGGTCCTTGTGGTGAAGGAACACTATTGGGCAGTTGATGTGGCAACTGTGGGTGACTTTAAATAGTGTGGTGTGGCTTTGACTTCAGCCTGCTGTCCTAGGTGGAGGAGGATGCAAGTAGGAGCTTTGTGTGTGCCTGAGGATCTGTGCTGCCTCTTGTCTGCTCAAAGCTGCATGTCAGTCAGAGCCTGTCATCTTCTCTTCATCTTGATTTATCATCCAGCATAACTAGGTTTGAGTTTCATTTTTGGGTTTGCCTCTTCCCACAGACAGACAGATGAATCTGGCATGCAAATGTTTTAGCTCTCCAGTTCCAGGAGTGAGAGACTGCAGCCACAGGGAGTGAGAGAAAACAACCATCGGGGCAGGGCTGCTGTTCTCTGCTCTGGGACTGGAATTGTGCAGGGGAGGTTTGCAGTTTGCCCAGCACCACCTCTCTCAAGGATCGTGCCTCTGCAGAGCAGCAGTGCTGGGGCAGGGGCAGCACAGCTTGCCTTGCTGGAAACAGTGCTAATTGGATCATCACTCCTCGTAACTTTAATACGTTTGATTTCGGAAAGAAGCATTTTAGGATAAACAAAGGTTATAAATTCTAGCTGCTTAAGCCAAAGACTTCTATCTATCATTTAGGGAATCCACAGGAATTCTGTTCCTTCACTGCTCCCTGCCAGAAAAGCACATGTTGGGGCAGAGGAGAGTCTGTGGGTCTCTAACTGGAGAGACACTCTGAGGACGGGGTGCCAGCCTGGAAGTTCCCTGAACTTGTTAGCTGGTGAGGAAAGCAGGGCTTTGAGCCGATGGTGAGAGTGAGTCTGGGGGATGGGAATAGGTCACTCCTCACTCTGCTGAGCAGAGTAGGTGGAGATTTACTGTTGAGTGTGCAGGGGAAGAGGTGTGAGCCTTCTGCAGTTACACCTAGTCTAGGTACAGGACCAGCTCAGGATTGGGCTGTAGAGGCTGACCCCCTCTCCCAAGTGAGAAGGGAAGGAACAGCTCAGTGTATTTCCAGAGCTGCCAAACCTGGTTTGTCTTGTTGCTCAGGGCACCTTCTCCTCTTCCTTGTAGCCTGTGCAGCCCTGGGGAGCACAGCCAATGTCACACCACCTGGAACACAGCTTTTCCTGGCTATCTTGCTGTAGCAGATAGGGCTGGCAAACATCTCCCCTCCCAGGGAGCAATGGCGGGGGCACAACAACTGTACCTGTGTTCACAGTGCCCCTCACCTGCTGACTTGAGTGAGGATGAGGGGAATTGCACACCCCCAGAAAAATGAGCTGTTGCTTTCTGTATCCTTCTGTGACTGCTCTTGGGGTAATAGAGCCTGGCACTCCCAAAGTGCCCTGGCCCCCATGGTGCTGTGAAGGAATGGATCTGCTGTCATCAGTCCAGTGGTTGTGGAGAGCTGTTAGACTTGCCGTGTCACTGGGAAACAGTTGGAAGCAAGAGGCTTCCTGAGGCAGCACGAGATGAAATGCGGTGTGTGTCTTGGTAAGCGCTCAGCACGTAGCTGGTGTTTGCTGCAGGAGGAAAAGGAGGATTGCTGTGAGAGGAGAAGCTGGATTTTGGAGAATGCCAAGGGTGTGCGGGAGGCAATGTTCAGTTAAGGTTAATCTGGTCTCACTGGGAACAGAAGAGGCAGCACTCACCAACTGGTCTGTAAGTACCTTTCCTGGTCCCGACTCTGTCAGGGTTTCCCACCTCCAGCCTGTGTCAGGCAGAGCAGTGCTGAGCACAGAGCAAGCCAGTGTCCTTGTCACCCCACTGCGAGCCTGCACAGCTCACAGCGCCGGTGGCCAGCCTCCTGTGGGCTTGGCCACACAACTATGCACCGCTCTGTTTAATTCCTCTGTATTTATATTTATGACATTCAAAGTTGTCCATAGTAGTAGTCTCAGCATTTTGTTATTTTTTTTCATTATCTGATAACTCATGGCTCTGCTCTGATGCCTCAAACCAGTGCAGGAGACAGTTCTGTGCAAGCCACGGTGGCCCATCTACTGCCAGCACCAGACTGTAAATCTTGCTGCTTGCTGCCCTGCCAGGCAGGGTTTTTTCCCCTGTTCCTTGTTAACTCCAGCAGCTGATGATCATCTTTCCCAGGTTGATGTGATTTCTGTGACACTAGAATTAGTTTTCTGCTGGTTTTATGTGCCATGCTAGGAATAACAGCCTAGCAGTAACTGCTTCTGGCTCAGATTTCCACCAGCAGAGTAAATAAGGGCATTAGCCCAATCTCTTCAATTCATTTTTGTCTATAGCACATTGCTTTTTGTGATAAGCTTTGTAAAATGTTGTTAGGCTTTTCCCTGACATAAGTGAAGGGTAGACAAGCAGACTTTGTGCCTAGAAGTGATAAATTTTAATAGCAGTCTTTCAGTGCTCCTTTAGTCCCTTCCAGACTGGCTTCTCCACCCTGGGATTAACTACAGACAGCCTGTTCCTCCTGCCTGGGAAATGGCTGGCTAGTTCTTGCTCTATCATGCCCGACAGATCACAGGGACAGGAAAGCTTGGTAGTAGCTGCTGCTCCCCTGCATTTGCCTGTGTGTGTAGGTGAGGTCTTGGAAACATTAGTCCAATTGCAACTGTGTAGGAGTATTACTGGGGTTGACTGCACCCAGGTTTAATCATTTCTTCCTTTAGAGGTCAAAGCTCAAACGTCTCTAAGCCATTTTTATATGGTGATAATTAGCCAAGATGCGTGGCAGAGGCATCCATGGTCTGAGACCCTTGAGGGCGAGGGGCTCAGCCAGCCGTGTTAGCGTTACACTTCTGAAGGGCCCGGAGCAACCGTTTGCTATCGGGGTGGGAGGGTGAGTCCCTGCAGGAAGGAGACTGGAGGGAGATGCCTGCCAAAGGCAGTCCTGAGCCCATTCCCGTATCTGCTGACTAGCACTGAAAGCAAGTCATGATTAATTCCTGTGTGCCTTGCCTTTGCTGTACCACCTTCCCCAGAGATAAGGAGACGTGGAGCAGGAGGGAGCGCTGGTGCCAAGCCTGCCGGTGCCGATGGGAGGAGGGTCGTGGGGAGTGCAGACCTGGGTTTGACCTGAAACCTTCTCTTTCTCCAGCTTTCATCCTCATGATTATTCTGGCCCTTATCCGCATCAGCAGAGGCCAAGCTGAAGGCCACCCGTCCATGGCCCAGCTGTCGGGCATCCGCAATCTCTTTGGGGTGTGCGTCTACTCCTTCATGTGCCAGCACTCCCTGCCGTCCCTCATCACACCCATCTCCAAGAAGAAACATGTCAACAAGCTCGTGCTGCTTGATTACATCCTGATCCTGGCTTTCTACAGCCTCCTGTCCTTCACTGCCATTTACTGCTTCCGCAATGACACCCTCATGGACATGTACACACTCAACTTCACCAACTGCAAGATCATCAGCGTTGCCTTCATTCGTTACTTCCTGGGCCTCTTCCCCGTCTTCACCATCAGCACCAACTTCCCCATCATCGCAGTGACCCTGCGCAACAACTGGAAGACCCTTTTCCACAGAGAAGGGGGGACCTACCCATGGGTGGTGGATAGGATTGTCTTTCCTGCCATCACGCTGATTCCCCCAGTGCTGGTAGCTTTTTGCACCCACGACCTGGAGTCCTTGGTGGGGATCACGGGAGCCTACGCTGGCAATGGGATCCAGTATCTCATTCCAGCCTTCCTGGCATACTGCAGTCGGAAGGACACTCAGTTGGTTTTCGGCAGCGGGACGGTTAACAAGCACCTCTCCCCTTTCCGGCACACCTTCTGGATTGTGTTCGTGCTCATATGGGGCTTTTCTTGCTTTGTGTTTGTGACTGCGAACATTGTCCTGAGCGAGTCAAAACTCTGATGTGGGGGTAGCAGCATGCTCCCTCCTGGGCTCCTGAGACTTCAGCATTTCAGCTCCCACTCTGGGACTGTGGAGTGGGGGAGAGGCAATATGAAGGGAAATTTCCAGGCCGTCGGCTTGGTGGCACAGGTTAGACCTGTACACAGACTTTCTTCACTCCGTTTTGGGTGTGGATGGAGTGGATTTAGCCTTGTTACAATCCTGGTTCTCAGACCTGCTATCCAAAGCCATGGGGCTGAGCCCTTGGCAGCCTGCACGATTAACCAGTGTCCAGCCATTTCAGCCTGCAGCTCTGTTGGAGCAGCACTTTCTCTGTCCCTACAGTGGCTCTCTGTGTGCTGCAGGTCTCGGCACACAAGAGAGCAGACAGCCTTGGCTGCTCACTACACTAATCGGCTGAATGTCCCTTCTCCCAAAGACAGGGACGTGCTGTGCAGAATCTGGCAGGAGTTTGGGAGAACTGAGTCTCTTCCTTTTGCTGAGACCCCTTCAAACCAACCTCCTGTGCCAGCTGAGGGAAGAAAATAGGGTGGGAATAGACCTAATTCAGAGGAAAACAATTTTGTGCTCTGTTACATTTTCTTTTTCTAGAGGCATTAACCTGTTTGTGCACCATGGATTGCCTGGGATCTTTTGCTTAGAGATGGATTTCTCCAGCCCAGGAGTTTACATTCACACTTCTCATCCTGTTCCTGTGCTGTGGCAGCCCCAGCCGGACAGAGCAATGCCCCTATGCATGCAGAGACACAGCTCTTGACCCCTGGAAAGGAAACTGCAGCCTTGCATCCCTCGGCTCCTGCATGCAGCTGGCAGAGCCCTTCTCCCTGTCCCACCTTTGCACGGGGCTGGTACAACAGCCAGACCCTGACTCCAGTGGTCAGGATTGATGTGGGCTGGGGAGCTGCTAATTACCCAGTCCCCACACGCGGGAGGCCGGCAAGAGCTCTGGCTGTGCACACCGATGCTTTTCCAGCCTCCTGCGCTGGGTAATGAGCCTTGAAACAAGGTGGGTGTTAACTCAAGGGAGCAGGCTGGTGCCAGGAGGAAGCGGCGGTGCCCTGGCTTAGCTCTGCCTGCCTGCAGGAGCAGAGCTCCCCAGCGCTGCGGCAGAGCGAAAACTGAAACCCTGCTGGAGCTGGGCTTGAATCCCCCCCTTTTCTCTTTCTGCACGGGGTTGTGGTGGGCTTTGGGCTGGTCCTGCTCAACTTATCTGAGAATTAGGCTGCCTGTTACCTTGGGTGGCCAGTGCTCTGGGTGAGTCTCTGCTTCTGGGGGTCACTCTAACACCACATGGTGACAAACACTGGGTCCTGTGCTCTGAGGCCCTTGGGCAAAGATCGTGGGTTTTCTAACAAAAGGAAGAACTTAAAAGTTTTCACCTGAAATATTTTAAACCCCCTTATTAAAGCCAGTTCAAAGCCAGGTGCATGTCACTTCTGTTAGATCCTCTTGCCCTCTGCACTTGCTGCAGTATTAAGTGTCACTGCTCGCTAAAGCAAGCTTTGAACTGCAGCTCTTTTTAATCAAGCCCTGTTTTCAAGTAGGACTTTCTGGTTTCCATATGACCTGAAGTGCTCCTCCTGGGGGAATATGCAAGTACCTGGAGCTGTATAAAAACACTTCATGGCTTTTAAAGCAAAACCCTGCACCTCTCAAGCCTGAGCACCGCCAGTGTGTCCTTGCGAAGCTGCTTGGAGAGGATCTGGGGGGGACTGTTTGCCTCCTCTCCAGCTTGATCCTAAACAGGAATTGGCAGCCCTCGCTGGTGAGTTTAAACATCCCCAAGTGCCCCAGGGAAGCTGATGTGGCAGGTGTCTCAGGAAAAGGTGGGTTGAAGGACAAATTCATGGGGCAGCAGAGCTTGGAGCCACCTGCGAGGCAGCGGGGAGCTGGGCAGAGCCGGAGGGAGGAATTTAATGCTGATGAGCCTTTGGGAAGCTGGAGAGGCGGCGGGGGCTGTTCCTGTGCACAAGTGCACAGGTGGGGGTTTATGGAGGGGGCTGAGGCCTTTCCTGTGGTGCTGGCTGCCCATGCTTTGCAAGGCACTTGGCTCAGCCTCCCTCCCTTCAAGTGCCCATTTCAATCTCTTGCCTTCACATTTCATTGCCAGCCAGCGAATGGGGCTGTTTGCAGTTAGTTCATCTCCTCTCCTCCCTTCCCCTGTTGGGGTTGCCCTTGGTCTCCCTCCCTTCCTGCCCCTGTTTGAGGCAGGGTGCCCTCCTGCCTGCTTTGCCTGGGGTGGGAGCAGGCAGGGAACCCTGCCTGGCACACCCTCTTCTGCAATCTCTTACACTTAAAGATGTGCCTTCTCTCCCTGGCCGGGGCGCCCACCTCTCCTGCTCAGCACACTCTGGCAGTGACTTCTAAGAGCTGCTTCCATCCGGGTTTTGGAGGCCGTGGCACAGTGAGGGCTCACGTGCTGGCCCCAGCCTTTGCTGGGGTACCTTACCGAGAAGGACTCTGGTCCCCAAGGAGCACGAGTGCTTCTTAAATAAATAACCACAAACTCCCAGACACCCGCTGTCCTTGCACAGCAGCAAAACAAATCTGTCTGAGGAATCGGGGTGATTAACAGAAAGAAGCTCTACAGTAGAGAGAACATTTTTCATATAAAACATGACAACAATGCCTTAAAAATTACTGGAGAAAGCGGGAAGGGGATGGCTCAGCGGAGCCAGCGCTGGCCGGGGGGACACTGGGTGTCCCTGGCTCGGTGCAGGGCAGGAGCTCCCTCCTCTCACCCATCACGAATGAGTCTATTTTTATTTGGCCATTATCAACACTAACACTTCATTATTACAGATTCTCACGTGATGCTTGTCCTGACTGTAATTAGGTTTCAAAAAATGGGATTAAAACCAATAAAATGCACATTATACATCTGGTTTAGTCTGGCTTCTTTTCCCCCCCCCCCTTTCCTCTTCTCGTGTGTGCACTCAGCAGCTCTTCCTGGCGGGGACGGCTGTGACTGATGGGGCTGCAGGCCAAGGAGAAATGGGAAGCGGGGAGGCTAATGGAGACCCTCACCTCTTCTTCTCTATTAGCCTCCTGCGACTCTGGGCGGTAGCTGCAAACTCAATTAAAACATCTGTACTTTCCCCTTCTCAATTACGGCTCTTTACACTTAAAACCAAACAAATTGAATTGCTCCGCCGCCTCAGGCTGCAAAGGCAGTTTCTGCCAACAAATTTATTATCGCCATAAAGCGCAGCTTGATTTATGTTAAAATATTAAAACAGATCTTTATGATGGAAATAAACACTTTCTGCTGTGATTCTCTCAAAGGACCTCACAAGCAGTAGAGGATTTTGGGGCTTGGGCCATAAATCTGAGAACAAACTGGCATCGGGGATGGATTTGGTCTTTTGCAGCACTTCGAAGAGCAATGGCCAGGCAAAGAAAAATAAAAAACCTCGATCCTGAGAGGCAGGTTTAGGCAAGGCTTGAACCTTGCCAAGAAGCAGTGTCTGGGAGGGGTTGACCTGTTTAAAGGTTTGGGGGAAGGTGCTCACTGGCCTTTCCCCATACAGGTTTGGACAGGCGGGCCCTGGCTGTGTTGTGCCCTGGCCTTGCAGGGCCGAGGGACCCCGGGGGGGTTTCATGCCATGGAGTTGCCCTGGCAGGAGCTGGGGGGCAGCTGCATGTCCTTCTCCCTTGAGCATCCTTGGGCATTGGCGTGACAACACCCTGCTGTCCCCACACCCACACTAGCACTTTCCTGGCTCTGTACCTGTTCTGGTCTATGATTAACCAGCTCCCTGTGCCCTGACCTGAGCCACCATCTCCCCATAGCAGCACCTTGACACTGGAAACCTTCCCTGTGGCTGAGCCTGCCTTGTTCCCCCTTTCCTCAGCAGGATGGTTCTCGTGACGCCGAGTGATGGGAATGGTGAAAATAATACATGCCATGGCGATGGCAGAGCCAGCAGAGGCAGGGGTGGGTGCTGGGGGAGGCTTCGTCAGGGGGGGCACTGCCTGCCCCCCCAGCAGGGCCAAGCCTGGGAGGCAGGTGGCCAGCAGTGAGCTGGCTGTATTTCTCTTAGCACATAAATGGCAGCCCGCAGCGTCCCAGGGCGGCACGGGTGCCAGAGCCGGCTGAATTAAAAAGTGATTGATTAGACAATTTCACCAAAAAGAAGTAATATCCCTCAGTGGCTGTTAAGCACTAAACTACCCAACCCCTGCTTTGGAAAGCCCAGTCAGAGGGTGCTTCCAGGCTGCTGCTTCCCTGCAGATCTGTCCCTGGTGCACCTCGGGCCAGGGGATGCTGCAGGAGCAGCTCAGCCCTTCCTTGGTCCAGGGTGGGGGGTGTTACGCAGGTCCCACGTGCTTTAGGCTGCCCCTTCCCCTGTGCCCCGTTCCACTCCTCTCCCAGGTTTGCATCTGGCACCAGGAATGGGAGAAAACTAATGCTTTCCCATCCCAGTTAGCATATAAAGATGATATGCAAATGCCTCCACGTGGGTCATCCAGAATGACACCAGCCTTACACCAGGTGCTGACACCTATTCCTGGGGCCACATCCCCTAGGGGCACCCATGGCACCCCCCATTTGCCCTGTCCCTCGCTGTCCTCAGCCTCCCGCAGCAAAACCCTTCAACAAAACATGAAGCAAATCCTTTTGGTCGCTGCTGAGTCACTGGGGACATCACTAATTAGCTTAAAACATGGGTTGGGAATTTTTGATTTTTTTTTTTTTTTTCCTCCCACCTTTTCTGCTCCCTTTTGTTCTCAGAACCCCAACTCCAGCTCAGGTCTGGCCCCTGACCCCGAAGGTGCAGCTGTGTGTGCTGGCTTCCTTGGGCCAGAAAGCCACAATTTGGGGGAAAGCTCCTCAGAGCACATTGGAGCCTCCTGGGGACCTGCCTGTCACCCCCAGAGGTGTCCAGGGTACCCAGCCGGGGAGCACTGCCCTGGGCAAATGGCTGCCATCTCCTGGGGCAGCCCCGCAAGGCTCCCCTTGCCTTCAACGAGGTTTATTTACAGCCCTTATTTATATATCAGCACCTTCCTCCCTCACCACGAGGCTTCAGCAGGGCTGCCAAAGCAATTAAGAGACAATTGCGATGATAAATAACTAAAGGGAATTAAGGCACCAGCATCGTCCTGTGATGGCAGCCAGGCTGGGGGGAGGGAGCTGGCTGGGTTTAACCCCATACAGATGGGTGGATGGCTTGACAGACAGATAGATGGACAGATATTGCCAATGTGGCTGGGCCGTTCCTGACCTCCCTGGGGCTTTGCAGCCATCCCTGGGGCAGGGCTGGATGTCCCAGAGCAGCCCCTGCCATCATCCCTGGCTGCTTGGTGGCTGCTAGCAACCCCAACGGGTGCTTTTAAATAGGGAAGAAAAAAAAAAAAAAAAAAAAAAAAAAAAAAGAAAATATCTTTAGAGCAGCTTCTTGAGGGGGAAATGTTCATCCAGGAAGGTGATGCTGAACCAGCCAGGAAGAGCCTGAGGGCTGGCATCTCCCTGCATAGTCCCAGCCCTATCCCAGGATGGAGCTGGTAAAGGGGTGGCCACTGTCCTGGGCCCAGATGGCCTCGGGTCCCGCTCCCCAAAAACCCTCTCCCCTGCCCAGTGCTGCCTGTAACTCACAGCCACCCCTGCCCACGCCTCTGCCAGCCCAGCAGAGAAAGGGCTGTGTTAGACATGTACATTGAGAGAAGAATTAAACCCCGCTCATCTGTCGCACCTGATTTATGGCTTCATCAGCCCTGAAAAGGTGGGAGGAATTTTTTTCCCTTTCTCATTCCCCCGCAGAACACCTTCCCGGGGCTGCCATGCCGTGCCCCAGCTCCCTGCTGGTTTGCAGCCATGGGAGCATCCCTCACTGCCCTGAGCTCGCAGCCATCCCTGCCCAGCACCCCGAAACCTGAGCGGGGTGCAGGAACTCTGGCTTCAGTGCTCGGCTCCAGCCTCAGCACAGGTTGATGGCTCCTACATAATTATCCCTCAGCGCAGTTTAATGAATTCCCATTTTCCTTTGTTTGGCTGCTGCCAGTGGGACGAGCCTGTGCTGGGGTTCAGCAGTAAAGGGCTGTGAGCAGGGACAAGCACCCCCTGACAGCAGGTAAAGCCAAGGGCAGCCCTGGGCTCATCACCGGAGAATGGAAAAAGGGTCCCCAGTCAGCTGAAAATGTCTCTTTAATGACCTGGACATGGTGTTTCAAGTCCCGTGTCCCCCATCCCCCTGGAGCAGGGGGGTGTTTTGCAGCCGGTCCCCCCGCCCTGCCGGCCGCTTGTGCTCCCTGTAGATGTCCGGCGGTGGGAGGTCCCTGGGGGATGTGGGGGGCGGAAGGGGAGCCCCAACATGATTCCCTACCAGCACCTGCTCCCCAAAATCTCTCCCCGGGGAGGTCTTCACCAGGAGGTGAGGGAAACCTGGGAGGGCTTCATCCCCCACACAACCACCCCGAAACTTCAGGGGGTGGAGGAGGCGGGGGACATGCTCGTTTGCCCCTCTCCACTTTTCCTCCCCAGGCAGCCGGGAGTCCACGGGGATGGGCTGGGGCAGTGGCAGCCCCAGAGGAGCACCCTTGGGAGCATAGGCTCTCCCCAGCTTCTCAGGGGGGGCCAGGCCAGAGGAGGGGGCCCGGTGGGCACCAGTGCTGTTCTGCACCACGAGCTGGGGTGTCCTCAGGGAGAAGGTGGTCTGGAGGCGCTCGCTGTGACTGCTCCAGTCCTCGATGGTGCGGGTGGCCTGTTCCAGCGAGCCGCCCACACTGGCCGTTGTCACCATCTCCTTGGCCGCCTGCAGCATCTTCAGCACATTAGCCTGGGCCGAGCTGGCAGTGACATCGGGTGTGGGCGCCCGCCCGGGGCTCGCCAGGGTCTGCACCCCGCTGAAGCAGCTGTAGATGCCCTGCAGAGAGAAAGGGGGGGTCCCCCACCATCAGCAGGATCACTGGGGTCCTGCACCCGTGAACTTGCCCTGCCGAGCTGAGATGATGCTGCTGAGGCTGGGATGTCTTGATGGCACTGATGTCCCCCCCCAGCATCCCCAGCACTGCCAGGGTGGGTGACACCATCTTCCGTCACCCCTTTCCCCAGAGGTGCTAATATGGATGCAGGGTCACTCCCAGGGCTGAGCCCATTCCCCAAAACCTGGCTTTTCTCCCCAACCATGTGTTCACATCAGCATGAACATCCAGCTCCTCCAGTGCAGGTCAAAAGGACAATGCCCACCAGGCCGTGCCCATCCCCCTGACACTCTGGGAGGACATTTGGGCGCCTCGAGAGTCCCTGGCAGCATCACTCACCCTGCTGATGGCCAGGAGGAAGTCAAGCTTGTGGGACTTGGGGACAGAGTGACGCAGCTTCCAGTAGACGAGGTGCTCCCAGGCAAAGACCAGCAGGCTCAGCCCCATGGCCACCAGCAGCATGTAGAAAACCCCGGCCATGTTGTCGATGTCCAATTTGCTGCTCATCACCTCGTTCTTCTCATTCTGGCAGATCCCTGACAGCCAAACTGTCTCCAGCTTCTGGGTCTCACCTGAGGCCAAACATGCACAGTGGTGGGGTGGGGTGAAAATTCCCCCCATGGGCACCACCTCCCCAAGGACAATCCCTTGCCCATCCCCACCCCGCCATGGCTGGAGGAGGAGAAAGCCACCCCAAAGCTTCTGGAGCTTTTACCACCTAGTCCTTGCTGCTGCCCTTGGCCTGAGCATCCCACCAGTCCCTTGCCCTTCTCCAGGGCCCTCTCCTGTCTCTGTTCCCCATCCAGCCATGCTTACTGTCCCCCTCCCAGGCTTCTCCTCCTGACCCTCATATTTTTTGCATGGCCACCTCCAGGATTTTACAGCCTGTAGGAAGAAGAGGAACTGCAGAGGGAATGACCCCCCAGCGCCCAGCTGGAGAGGTGCGCTGGATTTAATGTCCCCTGAAAGGAGCTGGTGGAGAGGCCCCTCAGTGACATCCTGCAAGGAGCTGTGGAGGCTGCACCGGGTCTGGGGACAAAGCCCTGGTCCCTGGGTTAATTACAGGGCAGTGGTGGGGTGAGGATGGGGACAGGGCTAATGAGAAGCTCGTGTGAGCACCCACCATCTCCCAGGAACTGGAGCAGGGCCAGGTCGATGGCCCTCTTCCAACGCGAGTCCTTCTGTAGGGCGATGCCGTAGCCTGTGGTGGCAAACACCTTCCCGCTGCCGATGGTCACCAGCTTGCAGCCCTCGTCCTTGCCTGCCATGTAGTTGAGCACC